ATCTGCAGGTGCCCAGCTCCTTCTACAACCCGCGCCACATTCTTGATGCCTGCACACTGGACAGCGGCTCCCCTGGGAGCCTTTCTTAGCACTAACACTCCCAAGCTGCCAGCAGGCCCAACCCCTGTCATCAGAACCTGTAAAATACCTTGCTAAGAAAGCTGCTGCTCACCATGGCCAATTTCCTGAGATACTGGATTTCTTGCTCATTACAGTGTTTTAATCGAGACACTGACATTCTTTTTTAAAAGGGATTTCATGCTTCATTTTTCCTGTTCTGTCTCCGGAGGCAAGAAGGGCTAAGTGCAAACAGCCTCTCCTCGGAGCCCTGCCCAACTCAGACATTCCTCTCCTCTCGAGCCCACCCTCCCCTCCAGTCCTGTCCCAGCTGAGAACTGACATCCAACAGCTGCACTAATCTCTAGGTTGCTGGGAGCAACAGTGTGGGCCCTGTGACAGGGCCCTGGCCAGGGGCGGGGCAGCCTGCCCTCCCCACACCCAGGAATCCGCCAGGCTGCACACGGTGTCCCAACACCCTGCTCGGTCTGTTCAACCAAACCAGTGTGGCATGAAGCCCAGGCAGACCTAGGGCTGGGGTGAGCCCAGAAGCCAGTGGCTGTCCCCACCCGGCACAACCTAAGTCATAGAGAGTATCCTTGGGCAGGGTGGAGAGGGGGCAGTCCTGACAAAGGTGCCTCCTGCTTCTAGGCCCGCTGGGAAGGGGGGGGGGGCAGAAGGGAAGTGTCCTCCCCTCCACCCTCAGCCACCAGCATCATTTTAAATTTGCTTCCATCCCACCTCTGAGTTGAGCCCCGGACCCCTGAAACTCAAATACAAGATGCCAACAAACATTTTGTAATACCCTCTCCCTATTTTTAGAATGGCATTTAACAAGCGTGGAACCAGTGTCACCTGAATTAGTCTGAGGGTCTTCCTGCAGGTCATGGGTGTGTGAGGGGGTGTGTGGTAAAGGGAGTTGAACACTCTGTGGAACACGTGAGAACCCCGAAGAAAGAAGGGTCTGGCACCTCTCTCCACTGCCGAGACGAGGGGCAGCCCCAGCCCGTCCTCCACGCCACAGCAGCACTGACCCTCCCTCCACGCAGCGGTGCCTGTCAGAGGCCACCTGGGCTCCTGTGGACTAATTCCTGACACAGACTTAAGGGCACTGCCTTCAAATCTGAAATCCCCTTACAGACAACCAAGATCACAATCCAGTCAGCAGAGAGCCTCCCCCAGAGGACCGCAGGGAGCACTACCAATCCCATGTAGTACCCAGGGAAGCTTTACACCAGCGGGGTAAGGCTCCCTCTGCTTGAACACGGGCATCCTGCCCTCCCTGGCCCTGAATCTGCCCCCTTCGCTTTTTATACTGCTCGTTTACTTGCTTTCTGACTGGCCCCTGAGGGGCCGTCCCCAACATCACTATTTTTTTCTCAAGTCTAGTCCATCACCTGACACATAATAGGCACTCAATCATTTGCTAAAGTGATTAAAAAATTATTACTCGATCTCCTTCAATCAAGCCATGTAAGATTATATAATAACTTTTGCCAGACTGTGCCCCCAGCTGCAGCCGCATCGCCATGGTGACCACCCAGCTATCACCTGTTGGGGCTCAGCCCCGGTCAGCCAGACATAAGCCACTCAGACACAAGACCAGGGGCCACTGAAGCAAAGCCGCTGCCCTGGTGCCCTCCCCGCCACAGGTGGGCTTGTCCTAGACCTGCCCCTGCAAGGTGGGTTGCAGAGCACCTGGAACATGCCTGCTCAAACGGATGGGCTGTGACCATGCCACACACCCTGACTGCAAAGACTTAGTACATAAATAAGAATGTAGAACACATCACTGATGATTTTTATGTTGTACCTGTGTTGACATATTTTGGACATACTGGTACAATCAACAAAGCATCACCAATTTCACCTGTTTCTTTTTGTTTTCTAAAATGTGGCTACTAAAAAATTTAAAATGACATTTGTGGCTCTCATCCTACCTGTGCTGGTGGGCACTGACGTGCACCTCCCTTCCAGCTGGCTTTATTCATGACAGTGTACTGCCTGTTACTCTGTTCTATTCTTATAACCAAGCAAGAAATTCAACACCCCGAAACATCCCCACACAGGGATGTCCTTTTTCATCCACCTGCTCGCTGAACACTCTTGCCCATCACCTGATTCCAAATGCCAAGTCTCAATAAGCCCTGTGCTTCTTCCTTTCTGGGGAGCTGTGCAGAGGGGCCGGTTCAGTTCTAGTCTTGTCAGGGCCCAGGCAATAACTGACGAGAGCCAGAATTGCTATAAGCGGCTTCGTGTCTGCCTGTTGTTCTACGCTGACACTTCTGTTAATTTGAAACACAGAGGAACAGAGGACAACAGCCTTAGCGGTTATACGAGTTTAGATGTCCAACACTTTTTGTTAAGAAACAACGAGCATCCTGCCAGTTTTGGGGGTGGGGGCAAGGGTAGGAGAGAAGAGAAGCCAACAGCTGTTTTGAGTTATAAACTTTCTGTCTAAACTGGTAGCATCTATCCCACTGTGGTTCTGCTGCCTCTGGGGTTTGCAAATGGAGTTGGTGCCTATTTTAGCTCTGGGTTAACAAGCAGTTTCTCCCACCAGCTACTGTCACAGTTCACTGCCTGGCTGGGCCCTGCTGGCTCCTGCCTGCCCCCATGGCCTCCTTGATAGCAGGCTATTATGTGGAAAGGCAGAGCAGTGAGGAGAAAAGGGAATTAACTATGTTCTGTAATCAACTCCTTTTGGTTTCCAGACACAAGCCCCACCCCACCTAGCAACAGCCACTAGACGGGATGGCCGGCTGTCCCGTCTGCCCAACAGAAGCAAGGCAACCCCTTCTTATGGCCACTGCTGGGCGCTGTGGGTACAGCATCCAGGGACTCCAGTAGGAGGGAGGGCTGCCAGGAGGGTCGAGTCCCTTCCAAGCTACAAAACTTCTCCAGTCAACCTCTCACCAAACAAGGAGCATTAACTCCTGGGTAGGGAAGGAAAACAGGCAGGACTTGAGGTTCAACATGGTGGTCCTGGTGGCCTTGGCATCATGGCAAGTGAATTGCCCACCAAATCGTGCAGAACGGAACCACCAGTGTCCAGTGCAATCCCCATCTCCATCCTTGCTGAGTAGCAAGCACAGCCTGTCCCTGGAGAAGTTGCTTGTGGAGAAGGCTCCATTCCACCCTCACGCAGGCCGGCGTTTAAGAAGGGACACCTGATCCTTCTCTATCACTGCTGAAGCCTGTGCTGTGCAGGCTCCAGCCACCTAGAAATCTCTACTGGGACTCAAGCTATTTTCCCTGAGGGGAGAATTATCTAGAAGGAGGCAAGTGGGTAGTTCCTAATGCTACCTGAGCACAGAGTAAAGCATGAAGTGAAATAAAACATATGAAGGAGCTCGGAGACTAGCAGTGAGTTTACTTTGCAGTGACAGGATCTGGGGGGTCCCACAGGCTATTCCTGCCTCTGCCCACAACTCGCCATGTGGTAACTTCACCTCTGTTTGCTCAGGTCCTCAGTCTAGAGAACTATTTCAATATTCACCACCCACCACAAGCCCACATCCTGGAGATGCTGTGGATGTTAATAAAACGGTGAAGTCAAGTTCCTGAATCTCTCAGAACTACAGAGCCTATAAAAGAAAGAGTCAAATGCTTTTTCTTGGTAGACAAAGAACAACTGTTAAGAGACAGGTCTCAGCATCAGAGAACTGAAGGCCTGAAAAGGAACACAGGGATTATCCTTCAAGGTTCAGATGCAGCTGGTCCAATCCCGACAACAGGCCCATGCCCACTCCCAGGCATCCTGCAATTTCCCAAGACGGGGGAGTTATGCAACGACATTTTATAGCACTTCAATTGCTCAGCAGTTTAAAATCTTCATAAATCCTTTTTCCCCTAATGAAAAAAATGTCAAGCTAATGTGATTAAGGATAATGATATTTGACACAGCTTTAAGTTACCGTACAATTAATTAGGCTTTTCCCTCAACACACAAGTCTTCAGCTTGCTCAGACCCCTTCACTCCTCAGTCACAACCGAACAGGTGTCTCAAGAAGGCAATGTGGTCCATACATTGTGAGTCACACACAGATGTCGATGTCCAGATTTCTACACCCCATTGTCTCCTGAAACCCGAAGCTGAAGCCGTGCATGCGCTCGCCTGCCCTGGGGACCCTGGCAGACATGCAACTCTCCTGCCGCACATGGCGCCTCCCAATGGCGCCAGGCTCTTTCCAATGCTTAAAAACTATAAAAGCAGCAGCTCAGTAGGGAAAGGTTCCAAGCCTATCTGCTCACTAAGAACACAGGGCTTTCTGCCTGATGAAAATGTTCTCAGAGAAGATAGGGAAAGAAAGCTGAGTGCCTGCCCCCCACCCCTGTCACATTCTGCTGGGAAGTGATATTAGCATGCACTGCATGGGAAGGCTGAAGATCAGAAAACTAGAGCCAGTGGAGACCTAACCTTGAGGCTGGACCAGAAGAACCATCACCCATCACTGTTTCTCTGTGATGGGCTTCAGTTGTCAAATGTTGCATGAAGTTGAACTTGGTCTCACCCCAAAATGCACTCTCCATGGTCAGTGCTACCAGTCCAGTCCAACACCTATGGGCACTGGCTATGCCCTTCCTGTCCTTACCACATACTCTTGCACAGCTAACAATCATTTGGGTTGCAACACCTCTTGTGAAAATAATGTGCCTGCTGCCCAAAAGCCCGTGAGAGGAGACTCGAGTGCATGCCTCGCCGGGAGTGAAGGAAGCAGTGAACCTCAGTGAACACGTCCTGTGGCTACAGTCACCTTCACTCTCACACCTTTCAGCCCGACCACGCACACCATTCTTAATGGCCTAACATCCTCATTCCAAGTTGACAACATTTCAGCCCAGTATGTAGTGACGAGAGAAAGGGATATGCCAGCTGGCAGAGGAAACAGGAACGGGAAAGAGATTTCCAGAGTGCAGGTACAGTCCACCCTCCCTCCTACCTTAGTGGGTTATCTGAGTGGGTCTCCATGTGGGTCTCCAGTCCATACTTGCAAACAAACTCCTTGAAACACACTGGGCAGTGATACACTTCATCAGCCTTCTTCTCCAAGTCACCTGACTGCCCATCTTCTACCATCTTAGGGGAGAGGAAAAAGCAAAGTCATGAAGGAGGCTTCCCACACGGGCTTGCTTCCGAAGAGAAGCCACCACTCAGTTCAGAGGCTATCTAAAAGGAGAGGGTGCCACCTCCTAGGTATTTAGGATGCACCTGACCGGTCCTTCACTCATGCAACCAGTACTCACTAAATATAACATCTATCCATCCGTCCATCCACCCTCAACCCACTCATCCATTCAACAAATATCTACAAAGCACCCAGCACCTGACAGGTACTGGGAGTAAAAGAGTGAGGACAAGTCCCTAACACTTATGAAGCTCCTATTCTAGCCAGAAAAAAAAAAAGGCACAGGAGCAACAGAGCAAGCTCTTCATTTCATCAGTGGGCTTGGAGAGGGGGCTCCACAGAGGAAGCACACAGGCTCTCTCTTCTGTAGACACCTTACAAAACAGTGAAAACAGTGTGGGAAAACACAGGCCAGTCCCCAAACTGCTAAAACAAAGACTAGTGGTATTTCTACCAAGAGTCCTGTGGTTAGGCACATCTGGGCTGGGAGCAGGGAGGACCTTTTTAGAAGGAGCTGGGTCTTCTTTCTCTGACTCGACATCGTGACTCAGTTTCCTTTTGGAGGACAGCCGCCTGCGCTTCAGCGGGGATGGAGGGGCTGTAGCAGTAGCACTGTTAGGGTCCTTCTCATGAATCTTCATATGTCTGGAAAGAACACAGATACACAATGTGATTTGGCAAAAAACTGAGTTGGTTGATGTCTTTTAAATTTTTTATATTTTATGTTTAGGCTTTGGAAAATATTCTCAAGAAGTATGATAATTTATATAGTGACTTCTCTGTTTTTAAAACCTATAACCTCCTCAAAGCCTCTTCAATCTCTTGCAACTGCTATCCAAAAATGTCACTTAACACCCTGCTGTCTGTTGGGAGACATCCATGAACTTCACTGACACCAATGGGACAAAAACAGAGTATCTGATGACCTATTCTTCTTATTCAGGCAAAATGGACTATTTTAGGGCACAAAATTCTACAGAATAAAGAATTCCCAGGCACCACTAGTTCACAAACCAAGTAATCACTTTGTATTTGCCCCAGAACCCAACCCCCCTTTTACGAGTACTGTTTTCTCTTTCTTCTGCTTTCTGAAGGATGTTAGGGGTCAAATTTGAGAAGTTCTGACAGAGTAAATATCTGGGGTGCTTATTAAGACCCCCAAAGCCTTTCCATGCTGTTCATGGTGTTGGTGGATTAACAGCTCACGCGAAGAGCTGGAATAGTAAAATGAGTCAGTTACATGCTACAACCCTGATATCTACGAGACTAGGATGATACATGTAAGAGTTTTATGGATACCTGCTTTAAAGTGACCTAACTTGACCAAGTTTTAAAACAAACATCCTAAGAACAAGGTCTAGGACCTATAAGGAAGGAAAGTGCATTACGAAAAGACAGTCTCAGTGTCCTCCCACTGTGACATAAAGGTTCAGTCTTCCTAATGACAATCACCACCATGTCTCTGACTGAGTTAGACTGTGCCCCACGGCAGGTTGCAGCCACAGTTTCTATAAATAACTTTTATAGGATTGCCGTAAGGAGGCGTTCTTAGGATGGGAAGAAAAGCATCGTTTTCATGAACTGTCCGGTCACACTTGTAAACGGAAGTGCGGCCCACTTTCTGCTGTGCCTTCTTCAGAGACAGGCTGGGGATGCAAAGGCGAAGGAGCCTGCGAACCACAAGCCGGACACAGGCTCTCGGCCCAACTCCACGACACGGCTAAGACAATGCCTCTCCCTCCACAACCCGCCCTGCGACACCTGCACGGCCTCTTTCCCGTGTGTGTGGAGGATAAGATGCTGATTTCCCTCGCTCTGGTTCTACAGGCGCATTCTGGCCGACCGAGAGGTCCCTGCATAGCCGCTGCCCAGAGCACCAGCCCGACCCTACGCCGCAGCTCAGATGTGGCCTGACCTCTGCGGAAACGGCCTCAGGGAGGAGGCAGGCCTGTTCTTAGGGGAACTGCTGTGGTGGAGCCAGAGACCCCGTGGCAGAGAATGGAAAAGAACCCCAACCGTAACACCCGTGTTGACGCAGTACCTCACTTAGGTTATTAGGAGAGGGTGCTGTTATTAGTTCTTGGTGACCCAGAGCCTTGGGAAAGTTCATGAAAACAGCCTTCCTCCAAGTATGTGCTCTATTCTAAGGTGATTTAAGGAGACCACCACTTAGTATCAGCATTTGGAGGGGAAAAAAGAAAGGCTGGCAAGTTTCTTTCTTTCTTTTTTTAAAAAAATGTATCTTTATTGATTTCAGAGAGAGGAAGGGAGAGGGAGAGAGAGAGAGAAACATCAGTGATGAGAGAGTTGTCATTAATTAGCTGCTTCCTGCACATTTCCTACAGGGGAATGAGCCTGGAACCCTGGCGTGTGCCCTGACCGGGAATTAACCTTGATCTCCTGGATCCTAGGATGATGCTCAACCACTGCGCCACGCCCGGATGGGTTGGCAAGTTTCTTTAGACATTTATTGGATGGCACATTCCAACTTAAAAAAAATTTTTTTTTCATAGCATCTAAAAATTAAGAAAGTCTGATAACACTAAGGGATACAAATTAGTACCAAACCCACCCTCCCTTTCAATAAATAACTTGAAATTAACTTAAAAAAAATGAATACCCTTTTCAACTGTCAACAGGTTCCTTGTGCAGATGACCATGAGGCTACAGTAACCTGTGAGAAGACCGGAAATCAGATCGACAATTGTGGGCAGTTCACTAGCTCATGCCAAGTTGTGCCTTCTCTATCACGTGAACCTAGTGTATCTAGTTCTTAGGATTTATGACAATTTGTTTTCACAGAGAGAGGAAGAGGAAGACAAGAGCGAGCACTCTGAGGATCTGGCGGGAACTTGACACAGAATGTTAGTCCATGTTGCAGATGTGGCTGCTGAGGTGCGGAGAGGCTGGCAGCCCCAGGACCTCTCAGCGAGGACAGAACGGTCCTTCGTGTGCCGACACCAGAGTCCATGATTTTCCTCCATGTCGCCTCAGAAGGCCAAGCCTTTGGATCTGTGTTCTAGGATCACAGGCTGAAATCTTAGGGCTCTAACAGAACCTGGACACTTCCTTTCTGAGTGACTATGGCCCAAGGACGAGCAGCTGATAGCAAACGCTAATAAAATTTCAATAGGGAGTGAAGGTTCCGAGGTCAGGCAAAACCATTCCCCGCATCCAGTCCTGCCTCTGTCTTCTTCTAAAAAACTGGGACAGCCCTTGAACTGCATCCCTGTCAAAGGCAGGGAGAGGAGACCAGGTCCAAGCAGTCTTGAGGGGCTGGGGCAAGTATGAGGCTTCCCAGCACACCAACCCACTCCAGTTTTCCGACTGAGCCCAGCTGGAGAGCCAAGTTCGAAGCTAAAGCAATACTCCGTTAGAGGGTTAAATTTCCGGTTGCTGGACAACATACAGGGTGTCCCCAATCTGTCCTTTCAGCTACATGGCGACCAACAGCTGCAGGCTCATTTAAGAACTTAATTCAGTCAATAGTTGAGCTGCCAGGGTTGGGAGCTCCAACCATTTCTGGAGTTGGTTGTGACCTGTGGTTAATGATACTCCTCCCCCGACCCCTGCTCTCCTTCCCTGGCCTCTCACAGCAGGACTGGCTGCACCGACTGGCTGCATTAGCTGCCCGCTTCTTCCCGAACCCTCACAGGAAGTGGGGCGAGTCACCACGATGAGCCAGTCTCGGCCCCTTTCCCGCAGAACACGGCCAGAATGGAGAGGAGAGCTGGTGCGGGCGAGACCATTCTATTTCTCTTCCTTTTTCCCCCTCAGGTTTTGTATCAAGGACAAATTCATCTAATTTCCCTAAGAATCAATAAATTACAATGAACTTCAGAACTGGGAGGGAGCTGAGATGATGTCCAACTTCCCACTCAACACGGAAAGTCTTCACTGTTGTTCAGATATAAACACACTAGACATACCACCTAGTTCTGCTTGAATACTTCCAGCCACCAGGATGTCTCAATTTTCAACAGTGCTAATTATTAAAATCGTCTTCCCCATGCTAAGTCAAAAATTCCACCCTTCTTTGTCCATCTGTCCTCAGGGGTAACAGAGAATCAGTCTGCATTCTCTTACACCCAGTAGCTCTTCAATAGTTCAGGACGATGACTGCCTTTCTCCAGAGCTTCCTTAAAATCTCCAGCTCCTTCAGCCAGCTCCCCCAAGCTCAGCTCTCATCTGCTGAATTATACTAATCACTACTAACCTTGGAATGCTCTCCAGTTTGTAAATGTCTTTCACAAAATGCTGGGTCAAAAGGGAGTACCAATGTGGATGTGGTCGGAGAGTGAAAGCCACAGGGCTGGGACCCCCCCTCCCCCCAAGGCTGTGTAAACAGCTGGGGTTTCCTTATGTATGCTTAACAGCAACGTCACAACCTCAGTTCCTAAGAGCCGTCTCCTCCCTTCTGCACCTGAACAGTTAACGACTTTTCACACTTTCCAGATTGGCAAGGATGAGAAATATGCAGTGTTGGTGTGGTAAAGTATGCTTCTCATTCCCAGCACTAGCTCCTAGTGGCACATAGTAGGTGGTCAATAAATATCTGCCAAAATGGATGAATAAATGAATGAATAAGTATTTGCCGAATCACTGAATGGAGGGAGGGGTGGGTGAAGTAAACGCTGAAAATCTATTACACCTGCAGTATCACTACAACATATGCCATCAGTTTCTGAGATACCTTATAGTTTCCTTTACTAGGATTTAATGCTAGCAAACTTGCTGTGAGACTGTACAGTAAACAGTGCTGTACTGAAGACTTTAATGAAAAACACCCCAAATGTGAACAGAGGACACACGCTAATTTTTCTCTATTGGAATTAATCTGTATTCATGCATTCAAAACTCAAAGTTTTGAGTTAATGTAAACTCAAAGTAAGCATTTGCTTTCTGCATAACATTCTAAAATTTTCTTTTGGAGGCCTGCCACTTCAATAGTAGCAATCCTGCCACACCTGGTCTGAGGAAGGGGTTTTATAAGAGCTCTTTCAGGAGTCCGTTCACAACACCCAGAGGAGCTTTTACAGTGAGGATCCAAACAAATACTGCAGATGCTTCCTAAACTAGGAAAATAGTCTAAACTGGAGTACTTTTTAGCACTGACAGGAGCCTACTTTGAATTTTGAGATGGATGCTGATTTTCAAAGTTTTCCTCCCATAAATATTATCATTACATTCTAAAATGTGAAAAGATCCACTATAGCCAGGGTGGGCCGCCTGGAAGAATAAGGAATATATCAGAGCTAAACCAAATATACCTTGTACAAGAGCTGAAGGCCAATCCAGTAATTCATGGAGACAGACCCATTTCTAAAGCACATCCATCTTTTCCTCCTTGAACTTCCTCGTTTCTAGTTCCCAAAAGGGGAACTTTCTGCTGACCTTTCTTAGGTATGTAAATCTGTGCATTTGGAAATAGAGGTAAACTCTTAGCCATTCAAGCCATGGCTTGCTCTGAGAAGCAAGCAGGAATTGGGACAAATGAAAAAAAAGCAAATTTGGGTAGAAGATGGTGTAGGAGACAGAGCGACCAGGTGATGGCACTGAAGTCTTGGGGCAGTCTCGGGGCTATGAGACGGTGTGTCCTGGTTCTATCACCTTGAAACCATGGAGACTCCCCAAGTTACTCAGGT